GAGACAAGGTCTCACTCTGGCTTACTCTGGCTCATGCTGGTCTCGAACCTCTGAGCTCAGGCAATCCACCCACCTCGGCCTCCCACAGCACTAGGACTTCAGACATGAGCCACCGCACCCAGCCCTTTTTATTATTTTTAATGATAATTCTAATTCACTACATCTGGACTTGAGCCTGAAACAAACCTTTTTTCAAATTTTTGCTTAAAAATTATGGAATGCTTCATGAATGTGCATGTCATTCTTATACAGGGGCCATGCTAATCTTCTGTATCTATCCCATTGCACTGTAGATGTTGCCAAAGCAAGCACAGAAACTGTCCATTTTTATGTTACTGGTCTGTGGCCCACACCTTGAGTACCAAGGCCCTAATTTTCAAAGGACTAAATTAGAGTTATAACCTGGCAGTGCTCCCATCAATGAGTGCACTCAGAGTGGTCTCTGCTAGGAAGCATTTAGCAACCTGGTGACCCTACTTCTCCCTCCCCCAATTCAGTGAAGTCAACCCTTTTGTTCACTGGGGCCACTGTAACCACCCTACTCAACGTCCCCCCTCTTCTATTATTGTAGGCATTTAGCTGCCAAGAATACCATGTGAAAAACCCCACCTGGATGTAGTTTTACATGTAAGGGTGACAGTGACAAGTGCTTGGAGCCCCACTCAGGTCTTGCTGCTGCAGCAAGAAAAACAAACACTCTAGCCAAGTACCACCAAGAGCATCCTCAGGCACAGCTTTCAATATGTGGGTTGCCTGATCTTAGAACATGACAAACAAGGACCAGGGAGGAGTTAGTGAGCCCGTGGAAGAGGAGGTACCTGACTCTACTTACCTAATTCCAAAGTGACAGCAAGCTTCTGGTGAGCACTGTCCATGGCAGAATCTCCCAGCCCTGACACCTGACAAAGTGAGCCTGGACCCCACTTGCCTTGGTCAAGAACAATAGTGCCAGCCAGGCAAAGTGGCTCACATCTATAATCCTAGCACTGGGAGGTTGAGCGGGGGGGATTACTTGAGCTCAGGAGTTTGAGACCAGCCTGAGCAAGAGTGAAACCCTGTCACTACTAAAAATAGAAAAACTAGCTGAGCGTTGTGGCACACTCCTGTAATCCCAGCTACTTGGGACACTGAGGCAAAATAACCACTTGAGCTCAGGAGTTTGAACTACAATGCCATGAACTGTGAACTACGATGCGATAGCACTCTAGCCTAAGGCAACTGTCTGAAAAAAAAAAAAAAGAACAGCAGTGCCTGCAAGCCTTCACAAAGCACATTTAATACAGTTAACTAGCTCCGTGAAAAAGAATCCATTGTCTGACTTTCAGACACTGACTACCAAGTATATACAGCAAAGCCTCCATAGCTGCCCACCTCCCGCACTGACCACCTCCTTACAGTGACCTAATTTTCACAGACTGGACATGCACCACATGTACATTATCAGTACAGTAGGCCTAGTTCCTTATGCTGACCACCTCCATCTGTGGAGCGGTTTGTTACAGTCCCTTGGGTGGCCAACTTACAGAGGTTCTACTGTATTTTAACAAATGTGTTATATATAAAGGGAGAATCTGCTACCTATAATAATCCTTCATCCATTTATGTATTGCTCATTTATTCAACAAATACTGAACATTACTGAGCAGCTAGCATATACTGTGCTAAGGGGCAAGACATACCAAGAACCATTCCTACTCTCACAGCCCCCGCATTCCAGATGTATTCTAACAATACACACATACAATATATATATAACAACATTCTAAGTCCACACAATTAACTGTGATTGCAATAAAAACTGCAAAAGTATAGAGAGCTATTAAAGTGTGTAGCAGGAGGTATGAATCTGAGAAATCAGGAAAAGCTTTCCTTTGGCATTGACTTTAAGATCAAATCTGATGCATAAGGAGGGTTCAACCACATAAAAAAGTGGCCAAAGGATAGGTGGCATGCAGTGGGCATGTGTGAGAACATGAGAGCATGCCGCAGGAGCTGAACTACAGTGAGGGAGGCAGAGAAAACCCGAGTTATAACAAGCGCAATACTTTAAGCTTTATACCAAAGTTGATAAGAAGCCCCTACAGAATTTGAACATGCGAATGAAAAATGCAGAATATAAAATCAATCTTAGAATATAAACTCAATTATTTTTAAAAATGTACAGAAAATGACTAGAAGTAAATATATTAAAAATGTTAAATTGTGAAATAGCCAGGCGTTGTGGCGGGTGCTTATAGTCCCAACTACTCGGGATGCTGAGGCAAGAGAATCGCCTAAGCCCAGGAGTTGGAGGTTGCTGTGAGCTGTGAGGCCACAGCACTCTATCGAGGGCAATAAAGTGAGACTCTTATCTCTAAAAAAAAAAAGAAAAATGTTAAATTGTGGCCGGGCACAGTGGCTCACACCTATAATCCTAGCACTCTGGGAAGCCCAGGCAGGTGGAATGCATAAGCTCATGAGTTCAAGACTGCCCTGAGCAAGAGACCCTGTCTCTAAAAACAGCCAGGCGTTGTGGCAGGCACCTGTAGTCCTAGCTATTCAGTACGGTATGGCAAGAGAATCGCTTGAGCCCAAGAGCTTGAGGTTGCTGTGAGCTATGACGCAACAGCACTCTACCGAGGGCAACAAAATGACACTGTCTCAAAAGAAAAAAAGTTAAATTGTCACATTACCCTGAGATATTAGGATTATGCATAATTATTTTTCTTCATGTATACTTTCTAAGCTAACCAAATTTATACTGTCCATAAATTCTTCTTATAGTTAGAAAAAAATAATCCCAGTTTCCAAACACCACCCTGAGGTATCCCCTCCTTCCCCCGCCTCAGGCAGCCTCTCTATCATGACACACATTTATTAGCATGATATGTCCTTGACACCAGACTCAATCTGCTAAACATTCTATGTTACAACTCCTCTCTGTCCCTCCCCTTAACGCACAGCCACAGCTGTAACTGGAATGACCCCTTTTAACTGCTCTTCAGTCCTAGGCCAATGCACATCTAGCTGTTAGCTCCATCATATTTCTAACTGAAAACACCACTAAAAACACTGACACCCCATCAAAGAAGGAACCCAGTAAGAATTTTAGCTAGACGATACTGTAGCTTAAAATAGCTTACAGTGTACCAGAAGAAAGGAAAACAGCAAGAAAACATAATGGCAGAGAATGACTTTAAATAACTAATTGTCATAGTTTGCAAACCCCTGAGTTTTGGCCTTCAAGTTCTGACATATCATGATGAGCTGATACATATCATGATATATATCTGATATATATGTTCAGAAGCATATTATTTAACAACCCAATTATACATGTATCTAAGTTCAAAGATACAGATTTTTTAAAACCTTCAAGGCAACTAGTTGCAGTGGTTCACGCCTATGATCCTAGCATGCTAGGAGGCCAAGGCACGTGGATTCCTTGAACTCAGGAGTTCAAGACCACTTGCAGCAGGCACCTGTAGTCTCAGCTACTTGGGAGGCTGCGGCAAAAGGATTACTTGAGCCCAAGAGTTTGAGGTTGCTGGGAGCTGTGAGGTCACAGCACTCTAACTAGGGCTACAGGAATGGCTGCCTTCTGCCATTCCTCCTTCCTGCCTCCGCTCTCCCCCAGGCTTCCAATCCTGCAAAGGTGCTGCTTGGCCATGTGATACAGTCAAATCCATGGCCTGATGCTCCCCTTCAAGGACAACATCAACACTCTGGGCATGGTTGACACTAGTAAAGAGTCCATCCACCTCGCTGTATTAGCATCTAACCCAGTGGTTCCAGTCCATGAAGATATTTTCACTAGTCTTTGGGGAATTGAGAAAAGTAATAATAACCAGTGATTTTCATGAAACTAAAGTTTATCTTATTGATGAAGAGGAGATGGAGAGGAGAGAGAATATAAAGTAAAAATAGAAGATACAAGAAGGTTCAACACAAACCTAAAGCAGCAACGTTGACTTTATTGGATAAATAGGGATTAGATTCCACAGATAAATCCTCCAGTACTCTTCACTAGCATGGAACTCACTAGTTTTGAGTAGCCCACACACAAATCACATCCAACCTAAACTCAGCAGCGTGGCTTATAATGCAGACTGACACCTCTCAAACCGTCCATCCCCACTGCTTTTAGTAAGTGTTGTTCGAGCATTTGAGGTTGAGGTTGAATGGTGGAGGAAAGCAGCCCTTTAGGATGTACAAAAAGAGCTTTGGAGGTGGAGAAATGGAAGCAAGTGGGTAATATATTACTTGCAGATATAAAGAATGTCTCAATGTTTGTTTTGGTGTCAAAATTTCAAGCATCTAACACTGCTTTGGGTATGGAATGAAATTCTGAATTAAGTTAAAGGGGAAAACAGGGAATTGGCTGGGAATGTACAGATCGCTCCTTCGTCCTAACACTATATCCTCCCACTACATGGCATGATAATCTCAGGACATGAAAGTCTTGTTGATGCATTTCACTACGAGTGTTTTGGAAAAGGCAATACTAAAAGTTTCAGGTGGAAACGGTCCCTGGAATATGGAGGCCCGTCTATCTACATGGCATTGTCTTGTCCTGAACTCATCCACTCTTTAATAAGCTGTTTATTTTTAACGTAAATTCACTGATTTATACTGGTAACTCCTTTACTTAAAAATATGCTGGAATTTCCACTAAAATCTCTTATTATTCAAAGTTTGCTAGTTCAGGCATGAAAATTTTCCCCAGGCATAAGAGGTCTAATCTTTACAACAAATATCACTGAACCACTTTTTAAATCCAAGAATGCCAAAAAGAAATCTTTCTTCTTTACTCATGAAACTTAAAACTAGAGTTTTGTTTTCTTAGAAAAACTTAGCACAACAATCTGTACTTTATTTTTTTTTTATTTTTTTTTTTTTGAGACGGAGCCTCAAGCTATCCCCCTGGGTAGAGTGCCATGGCATCACGCTCACAGCAACCTCCAACTCCTGGGCTCAAGCGAGTCTCCTGCCTCAGCCTCCCAAGTAGCTGAGACCACAGGCGCCCGCCACAACGCCTGGCCATTTTTTTTTTGGTTGCAGCCATCATTGTTGTTTGGCGGGCCCGGGCTGGGGATTCGAACCCGCCACCTTAGGTGTATGTGGCTGGCGCCTTAGCTGCTTGAGCTACAGGCGCCGAGCCAACAATCTGTACTTTAGATAAAATATTTTTTCAACATAGGAAAAATAAATTTTAAAACTTGCCATATCATCAAAATAACCATTAAAAGAAGGTTCCTCCAATTTAGGATTATAACCTAGGTTTTAAAGAACAAGAGGACTAATGAACCTTCACAACTCAGAACAAGGCAGAG